TCATTCATCAGTTCCTCATAATACTCCTTCCATCTTCTCTGCACACTCTCCTCACTTGTTAGCACCTTTCCATCTCTGTCTTTAATCACCCTTATCTGTTGCACATCCTTCCCATCTCTATCTCTCTGTCTCGCTAATCTGTACAAGTCCTTCTCACCTTCCCTCGTGTCTAACCTGGCATACAACTCATCATATGCTTTCTGTTTGGCCATTGCCACCTCCCTCTTCACTCTACACTGCAATTCCTTGTAATCCTGTCTACTGTCTTCAGTCCTTTCTACGTCCCACTTCTTTTTAGCTAGCCTCTTCCTCTGAATGCTGTCCTGTACTTCCTCGTTCCACCACCATGTTTCCTTATCTTCTTTCCTCCTTCCAGATGACACACCTAGCACCTTCCTACCTGTCTCCCTGATCACTTCTGCCGTAGTTTCCCAGTCACCTGGAAGTTCTTCCTGACCACCCAAAGCTTGTCTCAACTTCTGTCTGAATTCCTTCTTTCTTTTGCAACTTCCACCACTTGGTTTTCTTTTCTGTCTTTCCTCTCCTCTTCTTCCTGACAACCAGAGTCATCCTACACACCACCATCCGATGCTGTCTGGCTACACTTTCTCCAACCACCACTTTGCAGTCACTAATCTCTCTCAGATTGTCTCGTGTACACAGAATGTAGGCATAAGCTTAATATACTTTATCCAGCATTTGTAATTTAAATCCATAAAGTCTGTTGTATAGTGTATATTACCTTACATACCTTAGTGTAACTATCAATTGTACATATCCATCGCTAAATTAGTTCTGACTGTACAGACTGTAGCTACTATGCACTCTTCACTGCTGTTATTACACTTCTGGTTAGATGCTAAACTGCATTTCATTGCCTTGTACTTGTACATAGTAATGACAATAAAGTTGAATCTAATCTAATCTAATCTTTCTCTTTCACTCTCATCCTGCAGGCTCTGGCTCTTGGGGTGCGACACAGCTGATATGCATCACCTGATTGCCGACTTCCCTACTTATAGTGTTGGCAGATGCTCCCTCATTGCCAGTACATTGAGGGTTTTCATTGCCACACTTTGGTCACGCTATGTGCGAATCTACACTGTTCTCCAGCGAGACTTCAGTACTCCAGCACTTTCCAATTTCCTCCACTTCCTGATTGTTTCACCCAGCACCTCTCTGAGGGCTTCTGCCTCAAGTCCTTGCTACAGTCAAGCTCCACCTACAGCAGTTCGCCTCCTCTTAGCTACACCACTTCAACTCACCTCCTCTGAGCCCCCGGCTACCCTCTCTCATTCTATGCAAACCAGCCTGTACATGCTTCCTGCACTTGGCTCCTTGGTGCCACAGCTATCACCGCCCCAGGGCTTCTGTCTAGGTCAGCTTGCCTCTGCAGAGTGGGATCCCCTACTCCAGGCCTCTCTGCTACCTCCTCTGATCAAGCACTCCAACCTCTACTAATTACCCACAGACTGCCTTCTCCTCTGTCCCTGGCCATCTGCTCTACCCAGCTCCCAGGTCAGTGTGTGACATTTCAACTATCACGTTCATCTTCCCTCTGCTCTCTCTGCTGCTCCAGAACCCTGGTTTATCTCCCGAGCATCCACTCAGTCTTCAGTCCACCAACCCCGGCCTCCTCTGTCAGACCTCATCGGCAATGTTGACTGCTTCTCTGTTTACCTGCACTTTTATTGTAATAAAGACTTTGATCAGAACTGTGTTGTCTGCCAACTGAGTCCAACCTGCTTGCTCAACTTGCCCCTGTGAGTGAGCTACCATAACAATTTCATCTTTAAGTGCAACTCCAGCACTTTTGCATTGCACAGCCATAAAGCTGTGAGATCACTGAAAGATAAAAAAGATAAAATAAAATAAAACCCGAGTAGGAGAGACCAAAATATCTGGATTTTAGCCCCAAGTACTCATGCCCCAACACATGCCATCATCAGGGTTGTTTCCTCAGACTTCAGAAATATCCCCTAGAAACACAAAAAAAACATATTACTATCAGAGGCTGAAAATGTATGTAAAATTGGTGGAGGATCCCTTTTAATGTCATTGTAGAACTAAAACTAGAAAATGTAGTACATAGACATATATTACCAGCAGAAGGAGCTCTTGGTTTACAAATATACTTTTGAGCCCTGTGTGAGCCATGCCACAAGTTTGTTTCATTTACTGGTCTAGCAGCAAACAATATTTACAGTAGGTGCATGTGAGGAGCAGAACACTTGACAGGTTTAATTCCAAAACATGATATCACTATTTTGGGGGAAATTGCTTTGTGTTTGATAACTCACAAATGAACAAATAGGATTTTAAATGTTACTAACATAGATGACAAAATTTATATATTGTATTTTACTTTCTGTATATACATTGCATGCACAATGTGTGTACAGTGATGCAACAAAGGTAGGATTAGACTGACATGTCTAACTGTTGAGTCAAATTTCACTCTGTGTGTGTGTGTGTGTATCAGTGTTCTTAGTGACGTGGTAAACTCTAATCCATTCATAGCAACACAGTAGATGTCCATTAGAGTAATGTGCTGCTTCACATCTCTCCTTCTGTCGCCTTGTAGCTTTCCCTCACTCTCTCTCTCTGTCTTGTATTTTCTTCCATGCCTGCTACAAATTAGCATTTGAAATATGTGTTGACACTGCATTATTTTGTCATTTAACGCTTCAATAAATGTAGTAATTTTAGGCATTACCATAGTTATATCACCTAAAAAGAAATCTGCACAAATTGAATAAAGCTACTGTGACAGTAACCTCCTATTTGTAATTCTCCTGCCCCAATCATTGTAAATCATTCAACTCAAAAAAAACAACTCACCTGGTTGGTTCAGGTGATGAACTGTCATTGCAGTTCAACATTAAATAAACCAGCTAACACTTTGATTTGAAGCATGGTATCGCACTATAACTGCAAACGTTGTTCTCACCACACTATTTCTGCCAGTGCTCTTTGTCATAAAAACAGAAAGGAAGCCAGTATGGTTTTATAGTTATGATGATTTTATTGGCATTTTCTAAGGTATAACTTTACTGCAATGGTCACAGTCTGGAAAGGACACGAAACAAAAATAGTGGCAGTATTACTAATAAAAATCAACCTCTTTTCTGTGTGGCCTACAATGTACCATGCAGTTGCTATGTTAAGATATTTTTGCCTGGATAAATTAATTATTCAATGTCTTCTTGCAGCAGATGGACATGCATAACACTTAATGCTTTACTTGATATTGCTAGGGTTTATTGGCATGGGTAAAGCAGTCTGGCCTGGTATGGGAAAAGGCTGTTGGATCCCTTCTTGTAATTCTGCCTAACAGTTGAACTGGTTTCTGATGAACTATTGTACCTCTAGCTCAACCAGTTTTTAATATCATTATTGATCCTCTTCATCATCAACATTAGCTGTCATGTTTAATGCCCTATATTTGTCAAGTGGTTTAACAGGAATCTATAATGCTGTTCAAACCACAAACAAATGCGATTTTTACACATACATTGAGCCTTATGATACAAACCCATTTTTATGAATTACAAAACATCAGTAAAATTTTCAACTCTTGCTGTTGAATGGTTGAATTTAGCTTCCTGAGGAAAGGGTACATACTATGAAATCGATGGAATCAAATAGTTTTAAAACAGTAGTTAATGTACGGGTGCACTAACAGTCATGAGCACAAAGTTGTCATATCTTCATCCAAATGGCTTAAATACTTACAGTTACCTATATGAGTATCCATGATCTACTATATTAAGATCTGAGTGGTGTTACATCTACATTAAATAACTATTTAAACAGTGGCCTTGTTTGCAAGCTGTGAAAGGATACATGTTCGCTGTATTCATAGCAAATCACTATGGTCTTATCATGTAGCATCACAACATCTTAAATGATGAATACACAGTGTGTTTTACATGGACAGCATCAGAATACTGACATGGGGAGAGGGCATCTTAGAACAAAATGTACCTATACAGTTTTTAATTACACAAGATTTAACAAAAGAGTGATGAAAACAGGACAAGTAATCTAAATCAGTGAAGCCATTTAAGAAGTACTATGTACAGTGTGGAGAGAGTGTGAGTGGACATTGTGTAACACAACTATTATAAATAAATTAAATTTAAAAAATAAAATGAGCGGCAACACAGAACAACATTGACAATAAAGAGAGGACAGCGTGGAGGAACATGATGGGCTGAATGTAAGTTGGGTTCAGACTTCCACATGTATCACAATCACAATCAAAAGAAGTGGGTGCCAATTGTTGGCATTCGGGGCTGAGCTGGGTTTGGTTGGCATTAATTTTATGGTGCCCAAGGTTCAGAAAAAAAGCATTGTTTGCTGCAGTTTAGCCACTGCCCAACATCTTTGTAGCACGCTGGTTTGCCTCATCAATCCTGGTCTTGTTGGAATCAGCCTGAAAGTGAAAAGCACTGACTGTTACACAGCTCACCTAGCAGTCCCCTCAGGAAACATGGGAAAGCCAAAGGGTGTGGATGAGTCACTTCAGAGAAGACCTATGTGCGGAACTGCATTGTACACAGTGTACAACAAAGTACACAATGAAATGTTTAATACTCAGACTTTGACAGACTGGATCAGATTTTCTCTATCAGTGTGTCAAATTCAGGCTCAAATTAGCACAACTGCATCCACTGTGACACAGAATGTGACCCATGATAAATATCAGCTAAACGCTACATATCTACTGTAATGACCTGTAATTTCTTACTTCTAATCTCTGAAAAAATTGAATTTATTGTATTTGGGCCTGAAAATCGTAGGAACATGCTATCTAACCATATAATTACTGTGAGGAACCTTGGAGTCATCTTTGATCAGAATATGTCCTTTAAATCACACATAAACAAAGTCTCTAGATCTGCCTTCTTTCACCTGTGCAGTATCACTAAGATCAGGAACATCCCATCTCACAGTGATGCTGAAAAACTGGTCCATGCATTTGTTACCTCCAGGCTGGACTACTGTAACTCTTTACTATCAGGATGTCCCAATAATTCGCTAATCCAATCCAAATCCAATCTAATCCAAAATGCTGCAGCCAGAGTACTGACAGGAACTAGCAAGAGAGATCATATCTCTCCCATATTAGCTTCTCTCCACTGGCTCCCTGTAAAATTCAGAATAGAATTTAAAATCCTTCTCCTAACATACAAAGCCCTTAATGACAAGGCTCCATCGTATCTTAAAGACCTCATAGAGCCTTATCATCCTAACAGAGCACTTCGCTCTCAGAGTGCAGGTTTACTTGTGGTTCCTAGAGTCCACAGAAGTAGAATGGGAGGCAGAGCCTTTAGCTATCAAGCTCCGCTCCTATGGAACCAACTCCCAGTCTCAGTTCGGGAGGCGGACACCCTCTCTACCTTTAAGATTAGACTTAAGACTTTCCTTTTTGATAAAGCTTATAGTTAGGGCTGGATCAGGTGACCCTGAGCCTTCCCTTAGTTATGCTGCTACAGGCCTAGGCTCCTGGGGGCCTCCCATGATGCCCTATGAGTGATTAATATATTAATAATATTTTTTTACTTTACCCACAATACAGTATTATAACTATAAATTATTACTTTAACTAAATCTATAAATGTAACTACATTCTGTCTGTCCCTGTGGACATTCATACCTTTTCCTAATATTAATACAGTTAGGCCTATACATGGTTATTACACAAAGCAATCTTGAAAATTTGTCCCCTTTTCAGCTTACTTATTACCTCGTTTCATAAATACAATAAATGTCTCCTTGTATTTCTTCCTTGAGCCTCACGCTATTTTATAAGCAGTCCAGGAACTGAATTGTAGTTCACTATTGCTAATATTTTGGAACCTTATACTTCTAAATGTAAATCCTGTTAGTACAGTTTTGTCCAACTTTGGATTAAACTTTACTTTGCCACTTTAACAACCAGGATAGGTAGTTGCCTAGTAACAACTGAAAAGGACCTATTTTCATCAATATGTATTCATTTAGAATAGTGAAGCGCCTGCAATTCTATAGAGATAATGCACTTTCTAGCACCAATACAAACCTAGTGTTCTCTGTACGAGTGGTATACGTACACTATAGTGGTCATTGTACAGTACAGTACCTTCTCCATGATCCTATCAATCTGGCAGTTCTGGGTGTCGATTTCTTGGCCCATGTCTAGAGCCATGTGACGGAGATTGCCAATAATGCTGCCCACCTGCTCCAGGTTCTCATCCATCTCATTCTCCCGGGCATCATTTGCTACCCTGCAATACAAAGACAAATGTTATCAGAGCTGTTGTCCTATGTTGCATCACGCTCAAGAACACAAGCCTCACAAAACTGTATAAAACAATACTGTACATGGCAGTACAAGTAGATACAATATGTTTTAGATGAGTTCCAATAAAATATTCAAATACAGAAATGTTTAAAAGTATAATAAGGGCAATTGGTTACTGCACGGACTGGGTTGGCTAGAGGCTGTCTGGAGATTCATTACCATGATCACACAACTGTGAGAGTCTTGTTTCCAAGGAATCAAAAAAATCCCAACAGGAGGAAGTTACCCTGATAATTCACTATAACCCAAAAGACTTGCAACATGTTATATAGTATTACTTAGTCATTTCTAACCAGAGGGTCAGGAACCCTCCAGTGAGCCACTAATAGAACTGAGGGGATTTTGTGCACTTATTCAGTGCTGCTCTAATTTAAGTGATCACGTATCTGTGTCCAAATATACCACTGCACTGTAGACTTTTTCAAAATATAAAATGACTGCAATCCTTTATTGAACCCTTTCTACTAACTGCTGAACTTGCCCTGGTTCGTCTGCAGTCTTTCAGTCTGGACGTTTTACAGTCTAGTCCTATAGTAAGCTGAGCTAAAACTGTTCCAGCAGAAAGTAGTATGAAAATGCATCACATTTTAAAGTCAAAATGGGCAGTCTGCTGCAGGACGAATATTATCTACTATTATACAATTATGTATGTAAACAGTATCACAAATACAAAAAAACACACAACCACGCACAAGCATTTATGCACAGAAACAAGCAAACATGCTAGCTTGGGTGCGCGCACACACACACACACACTTACCTGCGGATGAAGCCCCCACTGATGGCCATCTGTTCACGTTCATCCACCACTCGAGCACCTGGCTGGCTGTTCACCACTCCATCCTGGTTCCCTCCCCACGCTTGGCCCCCGCCCTTAATTCTGCCACACACACATTTTGGTCAGGGGCACTGTAACATTTATATTGTGTGCTTGTGTGTGTATACACATGTATTTGTATGTGTATATCTATGCATGTGCACCTCTGTACTTGTTTAAGAATGCAGCCAATGCTATCTTCTTGTAGCCTTCTCCTGCATTGTGGGCGTCAATAACTTTCATTTTCAGGGTCTTACACAGCTGCTTAGAGGAACCCATGGTTGCTGGGTGTCCACAAGTGTGTGCACAAGGTTTGAAGAGTCAAAGTATTTGTACAGCTTTGAAATTGGCATTTACCAATGACAGCTGTTGCTGTGCATCAGATCTAACGAGCTGATTAAGGTCTGATACCTTGTGAGAGACTTTGAGACTCTGGAACTCTTAGGGTGCCCAAACTTTTGCACCATGCCATAATAATGTTTTTATTTTTTATTTTTGTTCAATTTATGGCATAAGAAGTAACTATGCATCACTGTTTGCAGAAAATATTGTGCATTTTTTCCATTTCCAAGAGAAACTGTGTTAACATCTGTTCAAATAAAAAATCACCAAAATCTGTTATTTATCAAGGGGTGCCAAAACTTTTGCATAAGACTGTATATGTATGCATGTCTGTGTAAGAGCATGTTTTGTAGCAACTTGCCATTAAAACATGTTTAGAATGCACTGAATAATATTGTTTCAAGCCAATGCACCTACTAAAAGCAACATACCAGCCACATGTGATAAAGTTACATGCACGCATTAGCAGTCTGTTAATGAATAAATAGATCAAACATGCAGATCAATTGAATCTGAGAACAATAAACTCACATGTGACTTCTTTTAGAAGATAATAGTGAGAAAAACCTCTCCCACAAGCACATACAGAAGAGTACAAACACAGAACATAATAGCTAGACTTCAGACAAAGGAGACACAAATACAGACAATCACAGGAACATAACATGCAAGGCAGAAACATAGTACATGTGTGACATTGGAAAGGTAAACATCTAGGGGAACAGGATCAGATACATGCTTTATCTATTAAAGGAACCCCAAATTGTTCAATCCATTGTGAAAAACCAAATAAAAAAAAAAGAAAAACTGTATATGTAATCCAGTAGCTCTGATCAGCCCCTCATTTCATCTGGATGGATAACATGATGAGCTGTATAAAGGCAAATAAGCAAATGTAATTCTCAGCATTTGTTTTATTATGCTTTCAGTACCTTATTGCTGCAAGACACCCTGCAACGCAGTGAACAAAATTTAAGCTGTTTAAATGTCCACTTTTCAATGAATAATTTCCCACTCCATGTTAGTATTGTCTTAAGGTGGAAAATCACACCCACTAGGTGCTGTAGACAGTCTACACCAACAGGCAAGAATAATTTTTTTTATGCTATTTGACCAAGGGCTGCCATATAATGAGCCCAGATCAGATGAAACATGTGACATAACCACAGGATTACATAACAAGTAGTTCATCACAAGGAAGATGTAAGAGCTATTGAATAACAACAACCTGCAATGATCATATATGGAAGTAGAACCAAAGTTGAGCAACTGGAAGCAGAAAACCTGTAATATGCCTTCATACAGGAAGTAAAAACTTCAATCCAAAATGATGTAGTGACTAAAACAAAACTGACAACTCCTACAAAATGACTGCTGTGATTTGTAACTAATCTATTTTATTTATTTACATGCTAATGTCAAGATCCTGTTTTGGAGGAAGGTCTCCTCTGCTGATATACTGTACTGTATTTAATTTGTTACAAAAATGTAGTAATACAGGTAAAGCCAAGTAAAAGACTACTAAATTAAATAATACTAAAATTTACCATTTCAAATCAGAGCATACACATTTTCCCCAACATCAAGGTTTTTTTATTCTGTTTATGCCTTTGCTCAATAAATATTGTAATACCTGACCCATGTACTGCATTAAGGCATCAATTAATTCACTCCCAGACGACTGACTCAGAAATGTTTGTGCACCCAACACAAAATAATCAATACAGCTAGTTATTTCTCATTTTGCCAGCCACTTGTGTTTTTTTTATAGCCCTGAGATAAACATACAGTCATTTTGCCAGCCACTTGTGTTTTTTTATAGCCCTGAGATAAATATACAGGTTCCAGAGTATAGTGTGCACAAACATGACTCAATGGCCATAGTTTAGCTGTGAAGGGCCAGAGAACAGATGACACAGTGTTTGGCAAAACTGACGCTAGGAATCCATTTTTGTACCAAAGCCTTCAAAGTACAATTAGGGGATTTAATATTAAAATGGCATTACCCTTTGTTGAGCATGCTCAGAGAAAGGTTTCCCTAATTCATGCATGATATTTCATTATGAAGGACAGTCCTGAAGGAGGAGAGGGAAGAGCCAGTTGAGGCAGCTTTAGTCACAGTCAATAGCTAGCCTGGCTCTGTCCAACAGAGTTAGGAAGATGGTGAGTGCTGTGACCCTGGTCCTTGCTGATGTCGCTACCTGCTAGAAGACAATCTCTCATCCAGTGTGGAATGAAGGACTTCTGAGCGCAACAGCTTTGGAATTAGCATTAGACCTAATGTGCATGTGTTTGCGCTGTTCATAATCTTTCCCTTGATTGGTCTTAACTTAAGCAAAAACACCCACATGGCATGCAGTGCTGGTGCCTATTCAGGCAACGTGTTGCTGTGGCTCTGGGCCTGACTGCTCACATCACAGTTCATCATGCTCTATACACCAGAAGCAGGCAGACAGATAGAGGCAGCAGGCACTGAAACATATGTAGTCAGGCGACACAAGGAGCACCTACTTGTTACACGGACATGTACATAGACCACAAAACTGTCCTAGATTGTTCAAATTCTTTTCTGCGTCCTTCATGTCCTTATTAATTTGGTCCATCCCCTCGTCGATGCGCTCCAGTTGTTCTGATTACACACAATGTCATTTTTCCCAGCAAAAGAACGAAAGCACGTGAGGAGAGAAGAAGGGAGGAAGAAGTTGGGAGTGGAAGAAAGGGAAGGGGAGTAGCGAGGGAAACAAAGGAGAAGAGACAAAAAAAGACATTGTGACAAGATAGACATCACTACCACCACCAGACAGGCAAGAGCGCTGGGCTCCTGGCTGGTACCTACTTTTTAATACATGGGCATATCAGACCACAGCATTGTCCTAAATCTTTTAAATCTTTCTCGGCCTCCTTCAGGTCTGCGTTCACCTTGTTCATGCCCTCCTCCACACGATCAAGTTGTTCTGGTGAGGACAAAGGCATGAGAGCAGTGAAATAAATTGGACTGTTTTTTGGACTTGCTTTCTGAGGCTTGGCGCTCTATGCTACAGTGTAAGAGGCAAAATGTTTAGGCTAAATGCAAAAGGCAAAGCAGATTGCAAGCATCAAGATGACCTGGGTATTCTTGCTTACACAGTGAATAAAAACAAATGAAATTTAATTTGTTTTTTCCCTTAGATTGTACATTTTTCCAACAGCTTTTGTTTCCTATCTCCATCCAGTGAAACTGATCATATTACTGGTTAAATATGTCATCTGAGTGGCAGTAGCAACACCTGTATCAGTAGCAGAATGCGCCTTCCTCAGATACATCTATACAAAGGTGTTATATCTGCCGCTATGACAGTATGACCACTACTGTATATCAACTGGAACGGAGAAAGAAAGACATTTAAGGCTATTCTGTCTTCAGGAACAACACACACAAGATTGAAGTCGATCAGGAACCAACTCATGAGATCCAAAAGAAGTAAAAAGGGGAAAAAAGAGGCAGAACAGAGAGAAAGGTGACAGTGTATTCATACACACACAGGGTGTACATAAAAGCAAAGGAATGAATAAGCAACTAATTAATTAACAAATCATGTAATGAATATGATGAAAAGTATCAGTCAGGCACATGAAGTCATGCATGCTTCCTTACTTGGATGGTCAATAGGGCACAGAACTATAAAAAAAATCTGGTTCAAGGTCAGATCCTCTCTCTGACAGGTTAAAGGCTGAGGGACAGGAGAGCAGTATCTCCATCAGTGGAATGGGGTGTTTTGTCTTCCAGGAAAAACTAAGGTTTGATTACTTCAGAAGACAGACATGTTTAGGCTGTACAGAAACAAGAGCTACTCCTATTGGAAGGGAAAGTTCCAGTATTTCACCACTCTGCTGAAACTTCCAAAAGGAGGCTCCATACAACAACATACAGCACATAGTGATGGCAAATTACAACCTTGCTTTACAGCGTATTTATAAAATTGTCATTAGTGCTGTGTGTACACTTGCTCAAGTACTATCCATGACCACAGTTTTCAGGTAGTTGTACATTACTTGTGAATTTCCATTTTTATGCTTTTCTACTCCTCCAGATTTCAGAAATGCGGCACTTCATACGACAACATTATGCGAGTACATTTAGCTAATAATACTGTTCGTTTACTTAAAGGCCCTATAAAGATACAGGTCGCTCTATTCATTTCACCTTATCAGACTGATCCTATCTTGGATTTAACAATGGTTTATGTCAAACAGCCCCAGTAAACAGGGCAGAGACACAACCTGCTACAAAACAGGGCTCTGGAGAATCACATGTTCCTAAACAAAGTCCTTCTCCCTCTGATACTTCACAAATCCTTCTCATTTGACTGAGCAATTTATGTTTGACTTTATTTTTCTCTCTGCAAAATTAGAATAAGTTTCACTTCCCTAGATACCGTAACTAAGAATCAGAAGTAGGGAGGGAGTCCGTATCTGTACTCTGAAAATAAACAGAACAAATAAACTGAACAACTGTTTCATAAAAATGACTACAGATTAAATTCAGTGAAAAAGATTCTTTTAAAAACTAACATGGATTTTCTGCTTACTGTATGTACAGAAATCTACATCTACAGTAGGTAAAAAAAACAACAAAGAGCTATATATAGTGCTAACAACTAAATGGCCTTTAGCTGTAAGGACCCCACCCACCCCCAGCACGGACTGTTTATACCCCTACCCTCTGGTTGGAGGCTCAGAAGTGTGAAATGCAGGACGTCTAGGCTGAAAAACTCTTTCTTTCCCTCTGCCATCAGACTCCTAAACAGCTGACTCAGGATCTACCTCATGTAATTCCATCTGTACTGTTTACATTATCTTTTTGCACATGCACAATTGCACACACACTGCTGAGTGTACACTCATCTATTCTGATGCTGTACTAGGTAACTTAAACTTGGTTTAAGTTACCTAGTACACCACAGCTCCCACGTAGCATATATTGCCTTTGCATTATATTGTGTTTGTGCTGGAGCTGCTAATATATTGTTGCCCATTTGGTCCTCAGGATCGCGTTAGTTTCTGTGGTAGTTGTATTTTAGCCATTAGGTGGCAAGAGAAGAAAAAACTGCTTTGAGTCAACAAGCATGGTGGTGTGTTTCACTCTCCATCTAAAGCCATCTGCCTGTTTGTAGCCCTTCGAGTGGCAATATGAGTAAGTTTCTGAGTTTAATATGAATGTTAGACATGATACTGATTATTTGAGTAAGTTTAGAATGTGTTAATTTCTGATAATTTGATATTTGTGTTACAGAGTAGTAAGCCTCATATAAAACTACATAGCATTAACTCGAGCAGTTTCTGTGGACATTGATATGATTTATTCGATATTTAATTTGATTTCTAGACAGTGAATATTTCTCTGTATTTTGTATCATTTCAGTTTCACACTTTTTTTGCATTAAATCCTGGTTAAATACAACACTTGCCTGTTCCCTGGAGGAAGTGTTGCAAACAAGAGCTTAGCTGGCTGTGAATCTCAATATAGGACATCATTGTCATCATTGAGTGCAACAGTACAGTGAAATCATAGCGCTCTGCGAGGGATCACAATAAGACTGGGAGTGAGTAACACACATTCAATGTCAGCAGTCATACTCAGTCATCATAATGGAAAAAAACAGAAGTGGAATCCCAAAACAACAAGGAAACCAAGTCATTGCGCTCCTGTCACTCTGCAAAGTCCTCAAGGTCGTCAGGAAAAATGACTGTTAGATCATTAGCAGGATCTTCAAAGTCATCAGCATCAACTCGAGTCAGTATGGCTGTAGCCCACGCGCAGGCAGAAGTTCAAGCAGCAAAGGCCAGATTAGCCTACGCTGAGAAAGAGATGAGCATTAAAGTGGAAAAGGCATGGTTAGAAGCAACTCTCAACATTCTCAATCTTCAGAAAGAAGCAGACGCAGCCATGGCTAAAGCAGAGGTGATGGAGTCTGTAGCAGCTCAGTATGTTGTTCCAGAGCAAGGCAAAGACCTGAGCTTCTTACCGCTACAACCAACCGGGGAACAAAGAGTGAGTGAATATATAAACAAACACAGTTGCACCAATATGGCTCGGGAAAGCAGAGATACATTTCAACATGACACTACATATCAGGAAGAACAATTCAAACAACCACTAATGTATGCACCTATGCACGCCAAACAAGAACCAAATCACTACCCAATTCTGACACAAGATGGTGCCAAGCGACCACAGCAAAAAGGTGAAATGCAACAATCCTCTCACAATGTGTTACAATCACAGCAGAGGCCGAGTTCAAATAATGTTGATGCCGCAACAAGTGATCTTGCCAGATTCTTAGCCAAGAGTCAACTAATGATTGAAGGACTGACTAAATTTGACGATAAGCCAGAAAGTTACCTTAGCTGGAAAGCCACATTCCAGGGTACCACCGGAGATCTTGATCTTATGGCTAGTGAAGAAATAAGCCTCCTCGTGAAGTGGTTGGGCCCTGAGTCTTCCGAACACAATAAGAGGATAAAAGCAGTCAATGTAAAGCACCCATCTGCTGGTCTGAAGATGATATGGACAAGATTAGAAGAATGCTACAGCGCACCAGAAGCAATAGAAAACTCCCTGTTTTCAAGAATACAAAACTTCCCAAGGCTCTCCAGCAAAGACCCTCACAAGCTTTGAAATCTGTCAGATCTTCTGTGTGAACTGGAAGCTGTAAAGCTACAAGGATCTTTACCTGGTTTAAGTTACCTAGACAGAGCTACAGCAGCAAGCCCAATTGTGGAGAGGCTGCCCTTTCATCTTCAAGAAAAATGGACAATGATGGCGTCAAAGTTCAAAGAAGACCATAATGTTAGCTTCCCACCCTTCTCATTGTGTGGATGCTGTAAAGCATCCACACTATGCTATCCTGTTCCATCCATCCCTCCATTTTCCTC